GAACTTGGATTCTTTTGATGATGATGATGAAAATATCATCTCTTACGTATCGTCCTCAACCAAACGACGACGAAACCTAAAATATTCTGATAAAAATTTCCTCGATGTTATTTATGATATTCTTCAAATGATCGCTATATTGATTTAACCAAAGAGAACAGCGAAGAAGAATAATAGCTTAACAAATTCAAATCTTAAAAAACTTTCGTTAGAAATGATATGTTAAAAAAGAAGATTGGTTATAACAATAATTGAAAAAATCATTCACTAAATCCGCAATAAAAAGCAATCAATGAAACGACTATTTTCATGGGCAATTGAAAGCTACATATACAAGCCATTCGAAACCTCGGTATTGGGTGCTGTTCAAAATAGAATAAATGATATGACTATTACGATTATTCAGGATTTTTATATGTCGATGAAAAGAATGGTTCCATCGGAATTCGAACATAGATCTGTTCCAGATAATGAGAACAAACGATTTCTCGTTAGGCATTCTTGAAAACCAACCAAGAATCACCGTCGAACGTAAGTTTTCCTTCCGTCCTCAAGGGTTTTCATTTTTCTTTAATAAGAATTCATGAGTGAGTGATGGATAAGTATAGTTTGATCTATCACAGTTACGTAAACTAATGATAATTAATTAAATTTATATGAATATGCATGCGGATCAACATCAATGCCATGAATTTCTTTTCTAATTAAAATAGCAATCAGAGTAGTTCTTTATTGAAGCAAACGATCGACAGTATTTTTGTTTGTTTCTATTTTGTTGTCTTGTCATATTTTGTACTTCGATATTTTAAAAGTGCAAAAGCATATCGAAATGTAAATAATCATAAGAAAGTTCGAAGCGCAATGTTTGTCTCTCAACGAGAAATGTCAATTTATGTATTCGATCAAAAATTTATTAGATATATAAAATAAATTAAGAAAAAAAACAAATAAATAATGCTGTAAATGTGTTTCATTCTATATTTTATTTCAGTTTATTTTTGCATTAAATTTTTTTGAAAATAAATTGAGTATTCTTAATGCATAATGAGCAGACAAAAACTTTTCCAGAAAAACCTAAAACATTTAAGGGATTTTTCATTCATATGAAAACTTGGAAAATGCAAAAATTGTATTAAATATTGTCTGAGAATGATTATGAACGAATAGAAGTTGTTCTCTAGATCGTATATCTTGATCGTCTAAACGATGGATTAATGACATGTTGTATGTTTGTTCGAATTTAACCTTTTGCCTTACCTATTTCAATTCAGACTAGTCCAAACTCGGCCACTATAGAAGATCAAACCTCGTCGTATGTATCGAGTTTGGCGTCCTTACTTATTCAATTTTGAATTTTTTTCGAGTGGACATCATCTCGATTTAACTTGTCTAGTCTTCTCAAAAACTTCCGATCTACGATTAGTCTGAACGTCTAGCATATACTTTTTTGTAGTCCTGAATGGGTCGCTTATCACTAAACGTCTGATCCTGTCATGTGCCATGACACCTGTCAAACGCATCTTTAGGAAAAGTATGCATGACGGGCGGAAATTTCGATCAGTCATGTTAGAATACTATTTCAGACAAAGACTCAACCGGGTGTATTTGAATTTTTCATGGTCTCTTTTGTGATTTATTAAGTATTTCTTCTTGTGACACTAGTTTTTATTTATAAAATATGTCCCAAAAGTCGTGATCACATTTTAAATGCGTAAAGTTTCATTATCGATCAAGCTTAATCCAATACTTTTTTGTAATCTGAAACAAGAGAATTGTATACTTTTATATAGCATATCCATGAAAAACAGTTGTTGAAAAATCATTTGAATGAAAAAAATTATTTCGAAGATTTCTTGGTTTTGTTATATCTGGAATTCTTTTACAATTAGTTGATTGATACTGCAAAGTATTTCTGCCTTTTTATGCTGACTGAATGAAAGTTTAATCTTCTGTCCAAGAAGGGTGTGGGTATTAATATAGTTTTCATTAGCATCGACGATAGCCACACCTCCACATACAATCCTAAGAATAGTTGATGAAGTTAACAATTCCTTTCATAAACCTTATTATAAACCTTATTAACCATTCGTGATGTTCATGAACGCTTCCAAATATCGATTTTACATATTAGCTGCGTGTATATTATTTTCATCAACCGTTTCAGAAAGAGTTTTGGAGACTAAATGAGCAGGCTTATGATTATCAAGAACCCTTACGAGAGGTTTATGATAATGCAACGTATAGGGAACCCGTTAAGAATTTGTTAATCATATCAACCCTTTAATAAACGTTTTCAGCAGAGTATTTAAAGTTCATAAACTCTTTAATAATCCTTTGTTTAAGGGTTTCTGAAAGGGTTGATGAGCCTTTCATGAACGGTGGAAAAGGGTTTTTTCTACGTTGCATTTTGATTAACATTTTAAACATTTATTATTCTACGGGTTTTTTTTAATAGTGCGCCCACACCCTTCTGGTATTCAAGAAAATATTATATTTCTGGCTGTAAATTCTTTGATTCAACAAAGTTTTCAGAAAAGCTTTCAGATTCAATGTATTATAATCAAGGTTTAAAATTAAGAAAGTAGAGTAATAAAACTATCAAAAACATCTGCTAATTCAAGTTTTTCCATTGTTGCAATCAGTTGTTTCTCAGCCATTCGATAATCTTGTCAATATTACTTATTTTTTCTGGTTTTGTAAGGTTTAATTTCTGTGCAATAGAAAGATTCAAGATTGGCATACTAATCCAATAATAGTTACTTCCGACATCTGGCGTGAGTCCACCCGTCAGTGGTGGAATCCATACATGCCCAACGTTTGCCAAAGTTGACCGTAGCACAAATGATGAACCAGCAAAAGTAACTAATACATATGGAACATATACGAGTTTAGCAAGGTCGTCCCAAAAATCACCTGGAAAATGGATAAAAGTTATATCTAGAGGTATTTATCTCAAGTATTTTGCTTGTGCTTTACGTATATCATTGCAGAAGAAGTTGGTTCGCATTTTAGCATACACATAAAATAAAATTGTCATTGTTTTTGGAATACACGTGAGTGCACTAAAACCCACAGGCCCGTAAAAAGGATGACTTAATATAATTTTTTTCTCACAGCGATCGAATAGCACCATCTCTGAGGCCTCAAAAATAGATATCGTTTTGTTGTTTACTTGAGCCCAAAGTTCCATTGCTGGTCTAGTTTCTTGTTGTATCTGATTTCGAATGTGATTCCATGCTCCAACACAACCATGTGCATAATACATGTTGCAATTTGGTCCAGAATCATTACACATGCAGAGAAGTAGTTCAGGGTAAATCTTGACACATGAGTTCGAAGGTGCAGGCGTGACTGATACCGGAAGACAGCGAATCCACGTGGAAGTGTTCCATCGGCTTGACAAAAATGAACTTCCCCATAGAAAAGCTACGCCTCGAGCTTGCCAATAAAGTGATAATATGTTTTCCCAATCGTCATATACGAAAGAATTCCTATGGACTATATCAGGATTTATAGTGACATAGATTCCTCGTTCAAAAAGCTTTTGGCATACTAATGGTTGTAATACTTGTGATTTACACACAGCATACGCTGATAGGTTAGATTTGACAGCAACAATCTCATTTAAGCATCGTGTTGCAGTTACTAAGCCGCTACCACTATAAATAAGACGCGGAAGATCATAGAGATTGTGTTGAGGTGACTCATATAGTTTCAACAAGAAGAAAGTAGAAAGAACGATCATAATAATTGTCAATGACCTACATACAAATAGGTCTCCAGATTTAGTTTTACCCATGATCCGTGTTATTCTAAAATAGTACAATAATCTAATCCAATAATCTGTAAAGTTTATTAATATGTGAAACAAGACTTGATATATACAAATAAGTAATTCTCAAAACAAAGCAAAGCATTCTTTTCAAACAGTTGGGTGTGGGGTATGGGTATGGATGAGGGTTTGATTGTGGGTGTGAGTGTAGATGAATAGCAGAATCATACTCATACTCATACCCACACCCACACCCTAGATACTATAAAATTACTCACATTGCGTTTTTTTAAATATAATGGACTGCGTTTACAAATAACCAGCATCCAAGATTTTGTTGAAATTTCTTACAAAATTAATACCATTCATCGTAGCTTCAATTTTTGGTCAAGATTAATCAGTATTTTTATGACAATCAATAGACTTTGTGCTTGAAAAATGAGTACACACAATGAATATCCACCGTTTTAAGACAGTGATGGTTTCATTTCTGGATTAAGCTAAAGGTGTGATTATCTTGAAGATTCCACTCATGTACAAGGAAATAGAAGATTATCCCGATAAAACTATGTACAAAGACTTTATCGTATCGATTAAATTGCTGCAAGAGCTTTTATATTAATAAAGTGAGAAGAACGATTATTGTGCCTTTTTTTGAAATTCTACATCTTTTGTTACACAGATAATTTCTGCTTCTGTTTATTCTAATAGAGATGAAATCGATCTAAATTAGATTAAATTGCTATTTCCAGAATTAAGACTCATTAATATAGGGTGTCCAGTAATTCACTAGAGTTGGAGAAAAAAATTTGAATATTTTCATGAATCTTCAACCAAATGAGCTGAATTTTTTTTGGAAGGTAGAGGACACGTAGCAGTTTTTATTCATAACAGAACAGGTCGTTTATGCGGATGAACTCAGCACGTTTTTCTTAAACAGAAGGCCAGTCAGCTATGATGAGGACTTGCTTATTATTCAAAGTAGTTCTACTATTGTGTTTTCGTGCGTAAATCAGATCAGTTGTTAAGTTTGACCGTTATCTCACTTTTTGTTTCGTTTTGAGTCATATAGCTGATACAGAAGTATCGATACGTGCATCATTCATGTAAGTCAACGCACGCATATTCAGATATAAAGAAAAGAAAAGACGAAAAACAATGGTACGAAAGATAATCCACGTGGTGATACTGTACATAGTTTTAGTTATATCACTTACGATTCTTTAATATGTATGCAATTCGTACCACTGATGAGAAAGTCGCAATTGTACGACTTTTTTCAAAGTTTGAAAATGCAACTGACGTACAAAGAGTATGGACCAATTATTTTGATACAACTCCACCTCATCTGACCACAATTTCGTCAATCAATAAAAAGTTTGATGAATTTGGAACAATTGAAAATCTACCGCACATTGGTCGACCGTCAAGTGTACTCTCTGAAGAAAAACTAGACGAAATTGAAGAAAGAGCCACTAGCAATCCACAATTGTCTATTCGTTTAGGTGCTGATCGAGCTGGTATAAGCAAAAGCAGTTACCATGTGGCAATGAAACAACTTGGCTTTAAACCTTACCGTCCTACCTTAGTGATCGACCTTAATGATGATGATTTCGATCGTCGTAGCGAGTTTTGCGAATCATGGATCGAGAAATTCGAAGAAGATCCCAATCTAATCGACAGTATATTTTGGAGCGATGAAGCCAAATTTAATATGAATACAAGCGTCAATCGACATAATTGCACTTACTGGGCCAGAGAAAATCCACACTTCAAGTTTGAAATGCCAAATACGCAACAAGGAATTATGGTTTGGTGCGGAATAAGTTCTAATGGACTCGTTGGTCCATATTTTTTCAATGATACCGTTACTGGTCCATCGTACAAAGAAATGCTGGTTAATTATGCATGGCCTCGGTTGAAGAACAAAAACTTTTACTTTCAACATGATGGAGCAGGAGCTCATTATTCTGTTACTGTTCGAGAATGGCTGGATAAAAAATTTCCAGATCGATGGATAGGTAGACGTGGTCCATTCGACTGGCCAGCTCGTTCACCAGATTTAAGTCCCTGTGACTTCTTTCTTTGGGGCTATTTGAAGGACATTGTGTTCAAAGAGCCAGTCGCTTCTATTACAGAACTTCAAGAAAGAATTGAACAAGCTTGTGAAGAGATACCCGAAGAAATGTGTCGCAAAGCATGTCGCTCTGTTGTGCAACGTCTTTGTGACTGCTTGAACAACGAAGGACAGTTTCTTTCATACTAATAATATCGCATTGTATATCAACTATGCTTCCTAATAAATAAAGAAAAGATTATCGTACAGTATTGCATTATAACTATGAACAACAAATGTTTGTGCCTAGCTTATTTACATAGCGAAGAAAAGTGTGCTGAGTTCATCCGCATAAATGATCTGTTCTGTTATGAATAAAAACTGCTACGTGTCCTCTACCTTCCAAAAAAAATTCAGCTCATTTGGTTGAAGATTCATGAAAATATTCAAATTTTTTTCTCCAACTCTAGTGAATTACTGGACACCCTATATATCGTAAACGAACATATTTCCAAATTGAATCTGAGAGACTTCTGTTTACTTCATTGATAACGACTTATTATTTTTGAGAATGAGTGCTAACATAAAACTAAAAGTGGTAGCAATGGATCAGTACCGACATTTTATTAACATGCAATATGCAATCTTAAAACAGTTATTCATACCACTTTTTATATGCATCATAAATCTGAGTCTATATGGATCAGAACAAGGAGAGAAAGAGTTGTGAAAATGAGAAGCCAAAGATTATATTAGTATAATAAATCTGATGACTACTACTGCACAATCATTAAATATGAAGAATGAATATCTGTAGTTGCCGTTTGAAGCAACAACAGCTTTATTGTTTCTATCCTATCTAATTGTTCGATCTATGTGCATGGCGAAATACAGAAATATTGTCCTGCTCACTTTATCGCTTTTAGTTCAATTGAATTTAAACTTTGATAGTTTACGATTAAATGAGGAGATGTCCATCATTATCAACTAATATTGTACCAAAATTTGACAAGACATCGAAAGCTATAGTAGCTAAATGATTATAATTATGATTAGTTGAATTTAGACGAAAAAAATATCATCAAGTCTCGATGAAAATCGATTGCTCTCCAAAACTGATTGTAACTGAGTACGGAAAACTTGGTTCACCGCCGACTATACTTTTTAGTAATCGATTTTCTTCGATTCTAATAAAAAAAAAAAGTGATGATAATTGCAGAAAAATCATTGATTCCGAATTAAATTTGCAAAAATATGCATTCCAATTTTCAATTTAATCCCAAAAAATCATAATTACTTGATTTTTAGTGATTAGTTAAAACTCAAAACCCATGGAAATCATAAATATCTTAATTTTTTTACCAATTTTTTGACATTCGTTGTGCTTTTCTCTGTTGCTCGAATCATTACGTAAAACTGAGGAAAAGAAGTATATTTTTTTCGTAAGAGCTAAAACGAATAAGGTATTAACTAACACAAAATTTGTGAGAATGAATATATCTGATGGAATATATTTCCAGATTCTGTCGCTGGAAATAATCCTAAGAAAATTTTGTTCAACCAAAATGTCTAAGTGTAAAGAAATAATCTAAGGGTCTCAACATATCTTTCATTTCTCTTTCATAATTATCACGTTTTATTCGTTTTATTGCAGATAATGTTGATTAAGGACGATGAGCTTTTGCATTTGTTCACTTTACACATATGATAGAGCAGGAAGAAAGTATTCTTGTTAGAAAGACAACGAAAGAAAAGAACACATGAGAGAAAGAGAAAAGAGTAATAAAATATAGATTGCTACTATAAATGAGTGTTGTGCATGCTACAGTCATCTATTGAAACCATCTATATTTTATCATATTCTTTTCTTTCTTTTTCGTTATGCTCTTTTCATAGGTTGTTTTTTAACCAATATTTTTCTTCCCTGTTATACCATCTGTGTAGAGAGGACTACGCAGCATACTTATTTCAAAACAGTCTAAATAAACAAAATAAGATGCTCCTTAAAACTATACTCATTCTTTCACGTTGACAGAGTTGCTGTACAGGTCAGTGTGCGTATACAATGTGTATAATTTGAAGAATCCAAAATGATACAAATCTTTCTCCATCTTAACTCTTTCCGTCTACTTCATCTGCTGAAAGCGATATTAACCTTTTCAATCTCGAGGGTGTGGGTGTGGGTGTTAGTATAGAAGTTGAATTCATGCACCC